GAGTTTCAGCCCAGGGGGGAAGTTGTAGTGCATTGGCAATACAATGCACCGTTGTAGGTATCTAGTGGGCAAAACGAGACTAAAATTGTAATAATTAGTTTAATTTAAGCAATAAAGTTTAAGTTAGTAAGCCAAATCGCAGGGTTACGGTAGTTAGCCGAGGATAGCCGACACTCGTTAGAGGCAGAGGCATAGTCACCGCGGAAACGCGGGTCGGCCGTACCCTCGCGGATCTAGCGACCGCCTGGCGGATCGCCAAGCTGGGGCGCAGGGATCGGACTGAAATCCGACGAGAGAACTATTTTTGCTCCAATATTTGTTCGCGAAATCATTCGAATAACTAATAGAAACGGCTAGTTCTGCAGATCCAGCTTGTGACAGCCACGAACTGCTGCACCTTAGCGAATCCAGCATGAGAGAGCTTGATGCACCAGGCATTACAATCAGCCTCACAGCAAACCCGCATCCATGGGTGGCTGCCGAGCATTCTTGGCTTGGTTATCTTAACTTTATGCCTAAACTAGTACAACTTCTCTCTATAAGTATTGTATTCTTTCTCTTACGGCGAACTAGGCCTCTGAACGTTCCACTTGAGATGCATTGTAGTGCCTGAGCACTACGCTACCGCAGGAGACCGTACCGTAGGTACGGTGGGTCATGGCGCCAACGTACTGTGCTCATCCTGGATGCCTACAATTGGCCGTTACCCTTAGATTTAGTGCAAGAGTTTGCAGTAAATGTAATGAGGTGAAAATATTTTAGTTTATTCGAGTAAGCTTCCGATTTCACCTAGCTCCACACGTTCCTTTTGCAACACACTCGCACCCACCACACGCGGTGACCATCTGGCGAGCGACAGCTGCTCCAGGAACAACTGGAAAGGTATGCCACATCTACGCAACTAGTGTAAGACCGCTCAATTAGTCACTAAAGTACACTGATTTCCTTCCTCAATATGAGTCAGCTCCTTTCCATTTCAACGTTGGGTTCGAGACTGCCAATGGGTACAGCTCATGCGGCAGAAGACGAACTGTTTTTCGATCGCGAACATGGCATCATTCATAGTGAAACAACCGAAATTGCAGGAGTCGATGCTTCGATCGGAAGACTCCGCCGCAATACTTGGCACCTGATTGCATTCTCTACGTTGGCGGCATCGCTGGCTTTAGCCTTCTTCATCATGCACTGCTTCATTGCCCTGAAATCCCAAACAAGCGAAGCAGATTACCGAATACGTGCACGCAGCCTTACAGTTGGAGGCAAAGATTGCCCCGTAAGCGTGGATGAAATGCGGAGCTTTCCGACGAAGCTTGGTATACCGCGTCCCAGCCTAGTTAGAGGGAGAGGAGCAATGGAACAATGATCCGAGCGCGCGGCAATCGTTGTTTGTACTCGTACTAACACTCTTCCGACAGCATGGCTGCGATGATCTATTTGCGTGCGCCAACCTCTATGGAGCCAACGGGAGCCTCTGTTGTCTGGGGCTATCGTCTATGCAAATAAAAACGCATGAGGAGACATCTTCGTAGGGATGCACGCAAACTGTGCATGAACATAGCAAATCCCAGTCTTTGAGGAACCGTGCAAGGCCTTGTCTGAGCGAATGCTTCCTGCCATTTACAACGGACAGAGCAAGAAAGTGCTTGAGGTCAGCTGGCTTCTGGGTGTGCAATTAACTGGCAGCAGCTTCTCTCATCGTGAAGCGGCGTCCTAGTCATAGTGCTGCTTGCACGTTTGAAGTCTCGTCGCCAGTGGGGCAGCATATTGATTGCAGTCTGACTAGTGTGCAGCTCAGGTAGCTCAAACTTCTTTCGCTGTCATATTCTGCAAGCAAACCTTACAGGCGATTATGTCCTAGTGCTTTTAGGGAGCATAATTCTTCGCATGGCTGTGGGGCAGGACGGCAGAACATACTTCGCGTTCTGGAAAGTAGAGTGGATCAAGTAGGAGCTGTGCGCTGCGTGGATGTGCCGCTAGTTTTGAGCGCCTAGTGAAGATGTTCAATGCAGTATATCAGATCTTGCAGGGAAGTGCAAGAGGAGAGGGAGCGGGCTTGGCGTCTCGGCTGCGCTGTAGGAATATTTGACACATTAGCTAAGTCTTTACGGAAACCAGCAAAGGAAGCAAGCAAGAATTGTGTAGCCGTGAATGGCGAGTGAAATTCCGTGGCTTCGGCGGGGTCATTGGAGCTGCTGTGAAAAGTAGATGCAGCTCAGCAGGGAATAAAACGTCTCACTACTGACGGAGCCATGCAGGTTGTACACACGTAGCATATGCGCGCATTTGGCATTCGTCTACCAGGAGCGTGTTACGATGATTTCGAAGATCTAACACTCATCTCTCTGCATCCATGACGCTCGCCTGTCCGACTCCTCTGCCAGAGTATTAAGTACATTGCATTGGTCGATGCTTAAATGCGAAGCAAAAAGCTTTAGCAGCATTGGCAATTCAGTGGGATAGCTTGGCAGGCTTGTGAACGTGTCCAATACTCCGTTTGTTTATCGCGAAGTCCTGAAATTGGACATTGTAAGGGTCCACAGCAGAGGTATATTCGTGGCTCGCGTCGTGATGTGATAACTGCACTGCACGCGATATTGTTGGGACTGTACAGGAGGTTTCCTTCAGACGGTAGGTCTGGGATCTACCGGAGTAGCGCTGCGGCGTTTGGACGGCTCGGTGTGCTCGAATGCTCGTAAACGCGAGGCGTTTCTCGGAGGTGCTGGCCTTCACCCCATGCCCTCGAAGATCAAGGCAACGCTGATATGCATCAAGGGAAAGCTGCAGAAAAAGGCGGTTCTGTGGGAAATGAAAAATCCAGCCCTTAGGAGTTTCTGCTCCGACGTAGCTAGACAACGATTAGGGCTTGGTGAGGAGCATGCAGTCTCAGTAGGCCCGATCTGATGTGTGCTTCAGCAAGTGCCTGTTGCGGAGCAGGACGTGCGTGTGGCGACTAGCGGAGCTAAGCTGCATGCCCGCAAAGCTGCGTAAGGTGCGGCTGAAAATGGCGGTTGGCTCGTCGGTTCGTTTGTGATGGTGGTCGGCGGCTTTATGCGTGGCCGGTTACACAGATCCAACCGAGGGCCTTTTCTTAGTGAGTGTAGACGGCGCCAGCAGGAGAGGCGAATTCGGGAACACCGTGTTTATGCTGGATGCGGTGCAGCATGAGTGGAGGAACGAAGACGGCGAAGAAAGCGACAGTGGTTTGAAAGGCTGCATAATTTCGAAGGGCCGCAGTGTAGTCGCTGGGGCCAATACCGTAGAGGCCACAGCCGACGACGTAGAATATCAAGTTAAAACTGAAATGCTTGTGCTTGTGCGTGACCGGATATTTGTTGCCGTGAGGAATACCGGCTGCGAAGTAGCTGAAAGCAAGGCGTTGTCAGTATGCCGGAATTTGTGTTCGCTGCAGCAGGTGGCTGTTGGGGCGCAGGGAGT